ACTATGTACCGGCTGGAATCTGCATTTAAACATGAAAATAGTGACACTTTTAATACAACATAACAGATGTGACGACAAAAAGGCAGAAACTCAAGAAAGGTAAATAGAGTTTTCTTCCGTGACATTTTGGATCAAGTATTTTATCTAGGGCTTTACCTTGAAATTTTACATCAACAACAGGCTTATTTAAAACATAAATGAAATTGGTTGATATTCACGAATAAGCTGACAACTCTTGCATTCCACAAATAAAAAACCTAAAAGCTATAATTCTGAAAGCTTCATATATATCATAGGTTTTATCTAGTACAGACTGGGGATCAAAATCCTCTACTTAAATAATTCACAGAACGCAGCCGCAGACACAATAAAGCCACACCAGCGGGGCACCTAGATGGCAGCAGAGTTAAAATGGAGAGAGGATATAAGCCACGTTGGAATAAGAGAAAATATAAAAATTGCATGCTTTTGCTAAAGTATCTCAACCATTAGAGACACTGGTACTAATCAGTGATTTTAAACCTTTCACAAGTAAACTTAATCAACTGAATGGTAATCAAATTTTGACATAGCTATATTTAACAAACTTCATGATATAAACGATCCATGCCTTTACATTTCGCCATTACTATCTCTTTTAAACCGTCATGATCTTGTATGTCGAATAGTTACACATTCTTATCTTTTAACAGGCTTTGCTGCTCTTTTTGTATAGGGTGCGATGAACATTACACTGTGAAACATTTTTTTCTTCTTAAATGCCGTTGCACAGGTTCCTGATACATATTACCGAGTAAATTCACTTTCGGAACTTTTTACTCTGTTCCTTCCAAACCATTGATCGGATACGTAGAGAAAATTATTTTTAATTAACTCATTTTATAACGTTGTACTAACTTTTTTTAACGTTTAATAACCTTTTGTTAGCAATTATAGTGTTCGGTTCCGTTAAACCCAAACAAACAAACAGTAAGAATAAATCCCATTGGCCTATAAAAAAACAACATTACAAAAGAAATGAGGGGTAACTATTCAAAATGTTTGCGATAAAATACATTATTTAAGAAGGAAAATCGTGAAGATGGTAAGAAGCTCTTTTAAATAAGCGACAAAGGCTTTTGAATGTAATCTATTTTGAGAAACTCAAACAATACCGATACGTGATTGTTCTCTCTTATTCAAAATATTCCAAAGACTCCTCTTAATGTCTTGCAAATGTAATCAATACTGGTTCTTGCGACATTTCATCTGCTATTTAGCGATATCAATCTTATATTATATGGCATGTAAATCCACTTATCACGGACAGGAGTAAATATCTCTCCAACTTCTGTGGGCGTTTAATCAAAACGTTGTCAGGCAATGCCAATTATACGAGCTCAATTCCTTTTAGCTTATAAATTAGTAGACAATACATTGAGGTTTGTTCATTATTTCAGTGTCTTAAATTCAAAATATCTCTATATCAATTTTACTTGTTGTTAATTTTGACCAAATATACAATGACCGTGACACGCTTAGTTTTGGAAATTATATGTAAATGATGCTCCTTTAATATAAAACATTAGAAAACTAGTTATATAGTTTGTATCCAATATCAATACGCATCTAACATAAGTTAATCAGATAGACTTGTATACTTGTATAAAAATGTAGATAACCAAGAAACAGATACTGCTACCAACTTTAGATACTTGTTTAAGAACGGGTTTGTGAAAAATATGTTATTTTTAGAAAGTGGTTTGCTATTTTTACATCGGTTTTTCAATTTGCAATTTCTTTTTTATGTAACTTGCATTTTTACCATGACAATACTAAAACATTTAACAATAAAAATGAAATGCTATCTTCAATTCGGAGTCAAATAAAACAAATAAACTTATACAGTACCAACACATTAAAGCACAATTATATTATTGAAATATATTCATATTGTGAAAATATAGTACTATTTGCTCTCGTGTTGTTGTTTTGTTGTTTTTTTTTTTGTATAGAACTTTTCAAAAATACTGACGAAAAAAAACAAACTAATTGATAAAAAATTGTATTCTTTTTATTCATATGTAACAAAACCAACAATTTTAAACACTTATTTTACTGCATTTACATTATTATTGTACTTTTTGTACAAACATCAAGAAAACACTGAACATGTAATCTGTTTAAAACACAAAACAACATAGTAAATTGTTAGTTTAAAGATCACACAATTTATGTATCAATCTACATTGAATCACAAAGTATTTGGAATGGTTTTGTCAGATAAATATCAAATTCAAAAATCAATGTCAAGTTCTTAATATTTACCGTGCCATAATATTATATTAGTATCTTACTTTTCAAAAAGCAAATATTATTGGCAATGCATTCTTTACATGTTACCCTGCATTTAAGACATTATTGAAAAAATCTACTTATCATTGGTAAAACATTCAAAGTTAATCAGATGCAGCACGTCTTATTAGAATAAAGCATCTGAAATTGTTCAGCTGTAGCAAGTCTTATTATTGGTAAAGCATCTGAAATTTTTCAGCTGTAGCAAGTCTTATTATTGGTAAAGCATCTGAAATTGTTCAGCTGTAGCAAGTTTATTATTGGTAAAGCATCTGAAATTGTTCAGTTGTAGCAAGTCTTATCATTGGTAAAGCATCTAAAATTGTTCAGCTGCAACACGTCTTATAATGGGTAAAGCATCTGAAATTGCTCAGCTGCAGAACGAATAACTGCGTGCAGTTCTGACAATAGGTACACATAATTTGGTATGCTCTATGTGAAATATGTATTTATAAAGTACCAATAACATTTAACAACCTATAAGGATATGAAAATATAAATTCATTTTCTAAGTATTTCAAATATATTCTTAACATTTATAGCCTATAAGATAAAACTTGACTATGACTGTAAAACATCGTAGGTTATGTGGGGTTTTATACATGTCATTACAATAGAAAAAAATGCAAAGATAAAAAATGTGCATTTCCTTTAATCATAAAGGATATCTATCGCATTAAGGCTGTCGGAGTTATCTTATTGAAAAAAATGTTTGGTCATGGTTTGACTATAATCATGTTCAGTACAAAACAACACCTAAACAATAAAATAAATATAATTACAATGCAAAGTAGATATAAATCAAACTCAAAGTATACTATAAAATTAAGAAACGTGCATGTTACCTTACATTCAATGTTTCTCAATGAATTCTTTTCACAAAGAGCAGGGTTTTTTTCTTTTATATCTTTCTTATTATTTAAGGATAACATTTAAAACTTGTTTATCGACAGAAATGTGTTATACTGAATATTATATTGAACAAATATGTAAATGATCGGTAATGGGTAAGTCCTTAAAGTCCAATCATGTATTAATATGATAAAATCTGTCAGAATTTGAAAATAGTACATCCGATCTGTCTAAAATTAATACTTCTTTTATACTACAAAATGTAATTATGTTTAAGATAATTAACCTCATGTCTCTATTACTATAATTATATAAACACCATAAATATTTCTTATTCTATGACCAGCTTTGCATAGTGATAGGTGTTTGTTAAAACATGTATCGTGGTTTTAAGTGAGGTTTATCAACTTATTTTTTCCATATGTGAGTATTTAAAAGTGTCGTTAATAAAGATTGACTTTTAAATCATGATCATATGACAGAAGCCATAACAGTTCTTTGGGGGAAATGTTTGTTTCCTTCAATGCATTGCAGTGTTAAAGCGGCCCCTCAGCTTTTATTTTCTGTTGAAAAAATAAACAATTCTGTATTGTTTTAAATTAAACTAAGTATTTCAGTAATTTTATCATGGAAAAGATGTATCATATCACTGTAAGTCTTCCCCGAGAGCTATTTATAACGCGACAATGACGTTTGTTTCTAAAAATAGATAATCGAGAAACGAATGTTTCGCTTTACTTATTTTAATATCGTTTCCTTATTGTTTATGTACTTTATTATCGGCAAATTTTATTTTCCACCTTAAGTATTTTGATTTGACAATTATATGATACAGTTTATCTAAAAATATTATATTTAATCTTGAGAAAAGATGAAGGCGGCTTTAAATTAACATGTCTTCTGACGACATTTTGAAATTGCTATCTTTATCGTTTAAATAATGGGGAAAATAGTTTTTTTTTCATATTTTATTGCTTCATTCTCCTTAATAATCTCTTGATGAGCAATGTATTACGAAAAAGTAATGACTTTCAGAAAATTTTGCTTAAAATGTGTTCCCCTAAAGATTTGTTAAAACGTTTGAAAGCACAATAAAAGCAAATTACATTTTAGTTTTTACTAGCATTTCTGAAAAATTCTGACAAAATGAATATGAAATATGACATCAAATAAATGTCATGAGGTCATAGTCAGATACTTTCACATTTTAGTATATGTCTCTCTATATTCTATCTTGTCTTAAAAAATACATGTTTTGGTAAAAAAATCATATCGATAATAAATAAAATAATCTATGCATTGTCAAGTTCGTGAAGTAAATATATATTTCAGACAAATTACGCTACCAAAGATCTTTCTAAGAAAAAACCTATGCATTTAAAAACAATCTACAGTGTATAATGACTTTGAAATACAGGGGTAATATTCATATATGTCTCACGTGCATTTGTTTTCCGGTCTGAAAACATTTGAGCCGCGTCATGACAAAACTAACATAATGGGTTCCGACCAGCATGGATCCAGACCAGCCTGTGCATCGGCACAGTCTGATCAGGATCCAGCTTACAAACTCTATAACAAGTAGAGAAACTGATAGCAAACAGCAAGGATCCTGATCAGACTGCGCGGATGCGCAGGCTGGTCTGAATCGATGCTGATCGCAAACCTATTATGTTGGTTTTGTCGTGACGTGGCTCATTTGATTAATACAGTACATTGAATACCATCTGACAAGACAAATATCAGACAAAATAATGAGATCGTGACGTAGGAATGCTGAAAATATGTATCATGCTTCACCATTACTTTTTAGATTGGATAATAATTATTCATTATTGTAAGCTTTAACTTGATCTAGAAATACTAAAATATATGAGTTAGCTTATATGTGAATCTGTTATTCTTATCGATTAGGCTGGGAATGAAAATTTCATAATTAAATATTTGATCGAAGAAGAAAAGGGTGATAGACATAAATAGTATATCAATCGGAAATGCTATCATACATTTAGATAGATAAAGCATACCTAGAATTTAAATTAATTTCATGTAAGTTATCGCTTTATACAAGAAAGGTGAGGGAAAGGCAAAACAAAAACTTTTCATTTAAATATGAAAGTAATTTAAATAGTCGGCGTAAAATTAACGGTTGTTTATAAAAGAATTCTCAATAAATCTAAAAAATAAGATTCTATTTAAAGAATAAAAGAATGGAATATTCACAAATAAAATTAAATTTTTAAAAAAATCCATGAAACCATTTGAAGTCATGGTTAGTTTACACGTTGGAATGTTTTAATCCGGCATGAAACATGAGTGAAACAAATGCTAAATATTTTGTAACTTTCAGGGAATGTGTGAGCCCTTTAAGTTAAACATAAAACATATCTAAGTCGCAAAATTTTGGGTTCTACGTAATGTAAAATATGTTCCCTAAAAACATTTGCGAAGCCTTTTTTGTTATCCTCCTCATGCAAAACGGAGTACGTTCACACTGCATATTATTTTCATATCCATGACTATACTCATCACTGCGTTCCTCATTCAAGAATCATACAACGTGGCATGTTTTCTTTTAAGTAGAGACACACTTCCTTTGTGGCACTAGGGCAATTTGTAAGTTCGAGCTCCTCCAAGAACCGCAGCTGTGTGAGACCACAAAGTCCCTGGCCTGATATGAGTGAACAACCTGAATAATGAAAATATTACAAAAATATTATAGACAAAGACAAAGATCGATCAATGTATTAATTATTCTAGTAAGTACAACATTGTTCATTCTGTAATTAAGAGGCATTTCAGTTGAGCGCCAGTACTGAGTCGCTTTTTAAATTATTTTATTTTTATTTCTCACAAGCCTTTCATATTTTGGTGCCCTGTTATAGCATCTTAAAAGTTACTCATTGGCCATTTACCTGAACCATCTTTTGCCTCTGTTCCCATTGGCAATTAGTACATTAGTATTTTGAATGGACGTCAAAAATACTTTATTTATATTTTGCTACTTTTATGACAAACATTTTCAGCGCTACCTGCTCAGGAGATTTTAAACTCATTTTTGCCTTTTCTAAGAAGGTAAAATATATTCATTTCTGAAACAGAATGTGCCTTTAACAGAAAAGCTGATTTTCAATGTCTCAGTGCATTAGTCTACTATTGAATAAGTATATTGTTACGGTTATTGCAATTTCTTTCTCTTGCAGACTTTATGAATGTCATAAATTGTAGACCACAGACTGAAATTCTAAAATTCTAACGTGCATTTCTACCGAATTGTTTCTCTCCGTAGACTAATCAATTTATGGTGAAGGTTAAGAATGCTTGTTCATTTATACGACTAGTCAGTTTAAATTTTACACATGTTTCTGGACTCAAAATTGTATCTCTATGACTTAAACTTCACCACTTTTATGTTTAAATGTTGGATTCTGCTCAAGCCTGTGCTGAGGGGCGTGGACGGTAACTTGCACTCTTCAGTACCGTCCATGAACAGGCCATATCAAACCGAGCGTGCAACATTTTACAATTTTACCGTGTTGGGCTTTCTTTAGGGATTCTGTTTTTTCTGTATTTAAACACAGTTTTTGACCAAATTACTACCATATGTTAATTAAGTGAATTAAAAAATATTCCTGACATTTTCTAACATCATTATACTAAGTCACAAGCTCTGACAAAGGCGTGTAATTAGTTATTTTCCTTTGTGAACTCCTGCATAATTTTTTTTTGCTTTTACTTTTTACACTGAAAATGAACTCGGTTCTTGCATGGATTTTGTTGTAAACAAAACACTGTAAAAGTGGTGCCCTTGGGTAAAACCTTGTCACATCATATAATTGCTTCATTTCATTTACATTTAATATAAGATTTTTTGTTACGGAAAATGATTTTATGCAAATAAAATGTTATGCATATATGACACGCGTGATTCTTTGTATATCTTAGAGTCCGTCGTAGCCGTTCTACAGAAATTAGAAACTTCCACAGGAGCATTGACGGCTAAAGAATGTTTCTAATTTCTGTACGACAGCTACGAATGAATACTAGCACACATAGTGTCAAGCTTTAGTCGGCTAAATTAATATACATTTTATTATGTCACGATTATTTGAACGAACGCGGTTCTATGTAATAGAAAGAGCACCGAAACACGAGGCTATCTGATTTGTACGAGGGGGCGTAGCCCCCGAGTATTAATCAGATTGCCGAGTGTTTTGGTGTTCTTTCTCTTTTGTATCATAGTCAAACATAAAAGCACGTTCCCTGTTGTCACAATATGAAACCCCGGCAAAAATGAACCAATGAACGAATATCTGAATATGACATTTCTGTCGCTTTCCCTTTCTCTGCCGTCACAATATGTAAACCCCAGCAAAAATGAGCCAATCAATGGGCATGCTCTGGAGTGCGGGTAACTAATACCCGCACTCCAGTTAACGCACTGTGCATGTATATGTATACGATTTAACCCTGACACATTTTCAACAGAAAGGTCTCCAAACTATGATACAAGAAGCACTATGGAAATTTTAATGCGACTATGAACGGATTTTGATATAGTATCGATTTTGTTGCTCTATAAAAGTTAACACACAACTTATAAGAAACACAGCGTTTTCATTGGCTGACAAATAAAGTTGGACACTAAAAAGGTTATGTCTACAGTTTGCTTAACTTACCAGCTAAAGAAAGAACCCGTAGACTACGCATAGAGTACATATGCTGGAGACCAAAGTCACGTATTTGTGTACACCATCGCAAAAATAGTTTTAATAATGACGTCATCGTAGATAGATAGCCAACACCGATGTCTGTCACGTGTGAGCACCTGTAAATATAGAATTTTATTTTTTTTATAAATAAGTACGTAACTAATAATCATAATCGATCAATTTCTATGAAAAGCATATGAAAAAGAGAGCAAGGAAAGAAGGAAGAATTTGACGAATATCTAAACACTCAAAACTAATTGGCGAAGAGGCAAAAGAAAGGATTGATCATATTACTTTTAAGTCTATATCTGGCAATATGGTTAGCGAATAGTCACTCATCTACTCGTCTCGAATGTTAAAACTAGCATTCATTTTTGTTTTTTAATTGTTTATCATAGATGCCCGGGAAAATAGCAGACGACAGATATTTGTCAGGAAAAAAAACTATGCTTTTATGCAAACATTATTTCCGGTTTCAAGTCAAACTTGAGAAAAAAACTAGTTCTAATATTCCTTCTTTTGTTTGTGTATCAAAGAAACTGCTAATAATCACATTCAAAGTGAAATAAAAAAATTGTATAAAACAAACTTATATCCAGTAGCCAATGGCAAATTACATTACAGCTATAATGTTTATTGGCACAGACAGAATGTCAGTTAATATACTTAGTAAAGCATGCTTTCAACTCATTACTAATCACCTAAATGTCTAGTAAAAATCCCGTGAGGAAGTTACCAATCCATAAAGAATTAGTGTAAATGTATAATTAAGCGTTATGGTCTAACAGGGGGAAAAATCGAATACTGTGTTATAGTTGATATTGAAATAGATGTCCAGGCCTATTTACGTGCAATCTCATTATAGTCTTATTATAGTCTATTATCGTTTGATTGCACGAGTTGTTTAAGATACGTCTACTTTGTTTGAGTTCACTTATAGTCATCATGCCGTACCAGTATTTTAATATACTTTTAAAGGTATTCTACTAAGGTCCAGAAAATTTAAATTTCTTATATAGAACAACTGAGGCACAAATGCCAAATGATATGCAAAAGAAATTTATTTATCAAATTTACTTATGAAATTGAAAATTGTGATTTGTACGATTTGGGCCAGATATGAGATAAATGCGAAGGGCGTCCTAGGCCAAGAGGTTAAGGTCGTTGACTTGCCCCCTGCCCCCCACCTCCAACCGGTGGTGGCCCCAATCCGGACAGGGACTTTGGATACTTTCATGTGAGGAAGCTATTGGTGGTTCTACTCAGGTGCCCTTTCGTGCCTTAAATAATGCATAGAGAGCCACCTAAGGTCTTTCTCCATCAGTAAAGCTGAAAAGTCGCAATGTGACCTAAACTGTGTTGGTGCGACGTAAAACTCGGTCAAAAAAAGATTAAAAAACTTAAAAGGATTTTCGTTTTAGGTAATTTATCAAAGTACGAAAACTGACCCAAAAAGTGACCTGGTATTTTTCAATTTAGTTTTTGGTCAGATCTACATGAAATGAAACGTAAATCTCAAAAAAACTATTTCCATTCCTGTCGTGTCAAGGATGATCCCTCAAAAAGGCCCTTTAATCAGTAGATTGCTACTTTGAAGTTGAAGTTCGATTGATCGTAAAATAAATTGTTCACAACAAAATAGTCATTATACTACAAACTTATCAGTCCTTCTTATTGGAATACAAGGTATCTCTTTTAGTAATGTAACTTGTCAGTACCTTTATTGTTGAGATGATTGAACCATCACATGCAGATTAATTTATTTAATTTAAGCGAATAGGTAGTTATTGCAGGACAACACTCATCATGCCTCAAAGGCTGGGAATCTATTTCTAGATGACTATAAATTGTTGTATCTTTAAAGTGTCGTTATGCTCATTTTTATTATCAAGTTCTGCTGAATAATAATACATGTATTTCAAAAGATTGACTGCAATAATGGTGATTGGCCATTAGTTGATACCGGCGACTTTCCATCTTCACGAACCTCATACCAGGCACAAACGGGCAACTGAGTAGAACCACCGACGTTCCGCAAGCTGGCTGGATAGCATCAGTTCTAATTACAACATTTCTTGACAATATATTTACTCGTTCAAAATGCATGTTTTAATAAACTCTCAACCATGGTGAATTTAAGTCGGGTTAAAGCTTATATAATGTATTGCATTTTTATTGTAAAGTACTATTAAAAAAAAGCAAACGTCAACACAAATATACGCTTTCAGTAATTATCCATTAACGACACATAAATGCAAACCATTGCCCGAACAGATATGATCATTAGAATATGAAAATTGTTTGAAAATAATTTCCTCGTCATAAACAAATTTCCAGCCGCAAATGATGAGTAGTGTACTTTACTAAAGGGTTCTATAACAAGAATTGGTAAATGTTCTAATTTATAATACACAAACATTTTGTAAGTGATTAAGTTGCTAATGTTCGCTAATAGTATTGACTTTGTTTTGCATACCATATAAGGTATATAGATCTGTTTTGCTTTAGAATGTTGTCTCGAAATAAGACCATATTTATAATGCATGTACTTTGTTGTTATTTATTCATTACATTAGCATTTTGCCAATGGTTTATATTGACAAAATGTTATACACGAAATATCTCGGTTTGTTATCAGATTTGTTGTTAATTTAAAATAAATGTAATGTACAACTTAAATAAATGATAAATAACATCGATTTTAGTTATACTTATGATAATGCACGTTTGCAACGCCGTTTTTCATTGGATAATCGTGACATTTATATAATCTAAATACAAGGCTTTTGTCAATATACAAACTAATTTTATGTTGTTTTATTTTTTCTGCAAAAAAAGTAATTATGCCTGGCTAGTGGCTCAGTTTATATAACTTAATTACCGTTTACACAGAGGCTAATATCATGTCAGACATATTTATAACTAAAATGAAAAGGGAGAGTATATTGAAATATTGAATTAGAATTTAGTCCTGTTAAAAAGCTCGAAATACCAGCTATTTCCCGTTGCTCTAAGATGTCTTGTTTGCTCGACATTTCAATCCTTATACCATACTTTATAAATCCAATTGTCTCACTAATATCTGATGAATTATCTAAAATGTGGAAGAATGTGGCTTTGCTTTCTCTAAAGTGAATTCTCAAATGTATAAAATGCATTGATGTTTACAGCAAGATAAAACCAGAGGAGCTTGAGTGTTTTTATATATATTTTATTTCGGCTTCTGAACCCAACTAGCAGTTGACACAGTTATTGTTCATGATTTTATGTAGCCATGAATACATAGATATATTTCGTTCACAATATATAAATTCAGGTAAAATTAACAATTTACTAAAAAAATGGCAGTTAAGAAAAATATATTTTATATGAATCCTATGGGACACTGTTTTTCTGTTCAAAAGTTGCGTAATTATTTTTGTGTTCGGTGTGGAAGCTTTATCACGCAATCTAAATAATGGTACCTAGTGACCCCCTACCCTGCTTGAACCTAAAGTGACAGGCCGTTCCCACTAAAAGGAGCCAGGTCAGCTTGCATATACATGCAGCTTGACCAGGCTCTACAATATTGAGTATTGACTAACTTAAAATGTGTATCTTGATATTTACAAAATCTATAATTGACAGTCCCCGTCAAGTCTAAATAAGCGGCCTACAGCTTTTTTTTCTTTCTTTTTGTTTTTGTTTTTTTTGTTTTTTTTTGTTTTTTTGTTTTGTTTGTTTGTTTGAAAAACAATTCTGTCTTGTTTCAAACTAAGTATTTCAGTAATTTAATCTTGGCAAAATGCATCATATCACTGTTAAGCCTTCTTCAAAAAACGCGCAAGTGATGTTTGTTTCTAAAAATAGAAGACTAGGGAAAAGCTGAAAGCCACTTTAAATCTGAAATAAGTTTAACTCTAAAGAAATAAAGGATATTGAATAAGAGTAAGTTCCAATACTAAATTTATTAAAACAAGTTGGAAAAAATATCTAACGAGTTTATGAACCTACACAAATATAATATTCTATTTTTCAGGAAAATAACACAATATCATTTTTTTTCATTGATTATAGTGTAACGCTAACATTCTGAGGGCCTTGAAGTTTATATAACACAAATAACGTTATGTCAAAATATATACACGGCCGTGCCATGTCATTTTAGGAGTCGTGAAAGCTGCACGGGTGTGTGATAATTAATTGTATGCTATAAAAAGAAATTAGAACCTTTCAAAGTATATGCAGCTAAGACTCATCCTTTTGTTATTGAGAAAGAGTCTGTATTTGCAAATTTTAATTTCCTGTTGCCCTCAATTATAGTAAAAAAAAGTTTACACTTGAAAAATGGTTTTCCACCGAAGGATGTACTTAAAAAACATATCATAATGAATAACATTGAACGAGAACAGTGTTTGAATTCTAAATACGGTACTTTACTTTGATTAATCTACTGCAAACAAAATTAATTTGACGGAAGATATACATTGCATAAAATTTTGGGACAGTTTACATTTTGTTAGTAAAATTGCAGTATCAAGCTTAAAGGAGAACATAAACATTTTAAATGTATCTATTTATTCGTGAAAAATACCTGAAATTGCTGCTGATTCAAGTTTGATATATTTACAAATTACATCAACACCGGTTATGTCATGTTCACAAAACATGGTTTTCATGTTAAAAAACACTTTAAGTTTATTGCCTCAATGGATGCCAAATGGATAGATTTATTTAATTACTGTTGAAACAGTTCATTCATGTAACAATTTATAATAAACTATATCAGACCTGCCAGTGTCATTAGTGGTATCATTTAACAAACAAAACATCTTCCAATCTCTTTCGGGGGAAAAGATTTGATTCAAAGGGAATATTTAAGTACATGTAATGGCTAGTCAGTATTTACTCATGTATACAAACATTACGAGGCGATCTACATATGGCCTACTTAAGAAATCAAATTATGTAGATATATAATTAAATGTACAAAGTAGGACATTTATAGAGCCGTATCGCTTTAGTAAATGATACCGTTGTGTACTATGTACTAATGTACTATTCCGTCTATCGCACTTTAACAAATAGGTTAAAGAGGCCTTTAGCTTTTTTTTTTTGGAAAACAATTTTGCGTTGT